CACCATGCCACAGACTTTTTCATCTCCTTATTGTTATTACAGTATGGTTTGCAATCCTAAACAATAAAAATGCTAAAACTAGAATTTATCACATGGGGCTTTCCACAGTCCTTTCCGGTAATCTGGGAAGTGTTGCTTTCTGTCCTCTGAAATTTTTTGTTCTGTGTGATTGTGGTGTGTGCTATTCTCTAACATGATATTGGCATGCAGGCCGAATTTGACCCTATAAGATGGTTGGATAAAACTTTGATACATATTTGTTCTCGGTTTGGGGATTACCAAAAGGATAGCCCATCTTCCTTCAGCCTGTCTCCAAGGTTTTCAATATTTCCTCAGTTCATGTTTCATTTGCGGCGTTCACAGTTTGTCCAGGTATTGTCCATGTTAGGTTTTTAGATCACATTTTCCTTTTCATCACAATAATTGAATATTATGACTATTCTGGGTTATTCATTATATTGGATAATTTTCTTCAACTAGTCTGGTTCATACCTTACAGGTCTTCAATAACAGCCCTGATGAGACAGCATACTTTAGAATGATCCTGAACAGGGAAAATGTTGCCAATTCGGTTGTAATGATTCAACCTTCACTGATTTCTTACTCATTTCAGTCTGTCCCAGAACCAACGCTGCTTGATGTGGCTGCCATTGCAGCTGATAGGATCCTGCTTTTGGATTCTTATTTCACCATTGTTATTTTTCATGGCTCAACTATCGCTCAGTGGAGAAAAGCTGGATACCACAATCAACCTGAGCATCAGGTAATTTTTCTTGAATATGGACTTCATATATTCGGCTGAACAGGAAAAGCAAGCTTATATTTATCCAAAAAATGGAAAAGCCAAGCTTATATATGCTGGAGGTCTGATGTTGGACAAACCTCAGATTGTCCAATTGGGGGCAGTTTAACTGCAAAATGTCATTAAGAGTTAAGAAGTAGATATTTCTAACCTTTGACTCGTTGATATCTTTGAAAAACATAGTGAAAATGTAGTTGTCAGCCTAACATTCATGCTGTGACTCAGCCCACCATATTGCTATGATATACTTTATCTTTTCGTTCGTGCCCATAAGTTAGCGAAAGTTGTCTGTTTGTTGTTGTCTTTGCATCTTCTGAATAGGACATTATGTTGTCATTATCATAGATGGAGAACTATATCGCTTTTTTCTAGCATGGCTTCACTACTAAACAAGTGAAATATTACTGCTGGTCCAAATCTTTTAGCCCTTAGTTTTAGAGACATTGGCGTTGAATTTCTAGGATTGTTTTTTTCTACTTTTGCTCGTTGGGGACATTAGCCTGTGTTATGCCTACAGTTAGACTGGGCTTTTGCCTCTAAGCCTTAATTATTATTTGTATTAGAATGTAGGAACTATGTATAAGCAAATTTATTTCCTGTGTAAAAGTGCTATAAATTAGATGGTAAAAAAGACAGAGGATGCCAACATAACAGAACTGCCTTTTCACCATCAATATTGTGGAACGTGGAAGGTAAATAGGGAAAAACAGAGATCTGAAGGAAAATTAGAGGGAAAGGGAAGGTAAAAGAAGTTGGGGAGAAATATAAGAAATAGAGGAGAGAGATATAGGAACAAAGAGGCAGGAATCCAGTCCCAATAACTCAACTATCAAATCTGAATAAACACAAGAAGTGCTTGGGGGTGCCCTAATATAAATGAAAGACATCAAATATAATCATAATGCAGTAATAATCGAAAAACAAGTGAAACACTAAGTAGTATAAAGTAGCCTAATCAGTCCAAAATATCCTAAATCTATGTATGAAATTTAAAATTTCAATTAATCCCTTAAAAGGTAAAATATAAGAAAGTAACAGAATAAATATTAATCCTGCATCATTTTGCCTGCAGATTTGCTTAGGGAAAAGGTAATTTAAATATTTGATGTTCTCATACAAGTCATGACGGAAAGTCCTAAAAAGGATTTTTTGGAACAAAAAAGGAAAGTCCTAACTAATATAGTTTTTGTTTTACTTTTACATAAACCGGAAGATTTAAAAAATAAAAACAGAGCCTTTTGAATCGGCAAATAGAGCTGGCATAAGTGTGGCCATACTTATTTGTTGTTATCATCATTTGTTCCGTGTAGGCTTTTGCCCAGTTGCTGCAAGCTCCTCGTGATGATGCAGATGCAATAATCAAGGATAGGTTTCCAGTTCCTCGACTAGTCATTTGTGACCAGCATGGCTCACAGGTTAGTAGCTGTTGTTCTTAGAAGTGTTTACGTGCAGATGAATTTAAAGACTACGATTGTGATTATAATTTCGCCCTTTCCTCCTAGAAGGATAACACCCTTTATTGTTCATCTATGCTTGCCTCTACTTGTGAGCTGTAGTCTGATTTGTTTAAATGATTAGGCTCAGGCGAGCTCCATCGCAATAGCATTCAAAAACTTGTGACTAGTTTTTGTGATTTGAATTGTCCTTTGAATATTAATCACATATGATCTTCAACTTTGAGGTCCGCTGAATCACAGTGCAGTAAAAGAGGGGGAAAATGGAGAAAAGTGAACCACATTACATTCGGCCTTGTCTTATTGGCTAATTCCTTTGCATGGTTATGAAGGTTTTTTTTTTTTTTTTTGTTGATCGACAGGCCCGTTTTCTTCTTGCAAAGTTGAATCCTTCTGCGACATACAACTCCGATGGTCATCATCCAGGTGGGGACATAATCTTTACTGATGATGTCAGCTTTGAGGTGTTCTTAGATCATCTCCAGAGATTAGCAGTTAATAAAATATGATAGAGCAGTAGGCAATTTTGTAAAATTTATCCTTGAATTTTTTGTACAGAAATTTCAAAGAGTTGAGAGATTGCAAAACTTGTGCTTTTATTTATTTTAATTTCAAACACGGGGGAATACGATGGTTGTTAATTTGTAAGACAATGATTGCTCGTAAAAGGGAAGTGAGATGCGATGAAACAATCGAAAATGATTCAACTTGAATTTAATTTAGTTATTAATATAGTCGCTTTTATTAAATGATATTTTTACTTCAATTTTTAAAATTTAAAATTTTTTATTTTAATTTTAACACTTATAATTTTTTTATTTTTAAACTTCATGATATTTTATATGAATTAGTATTTCATATGTTGATAATGTAAAATTTTAATTACACAAATGATATTAAAAAGCGATACATGTTGTTGAGGTATATTTAAAAAAATAAAAAATTTAATTAAGAAAAGATATGTTATCTTTTTAATTTGTTTGTCTAAGGTGATTATTCATCTAATTGAGATTTACCAAATAAAAAAGATTAACATATTATTACTTTAATATAAAATAATTTTGGATATATTAATTAACAAAATTAATTCATATCTAATAAGTAATAAAATAATAATTAATTTTATATGTCAATAATTTTTAATATAATTATTATGTATTTGTTTATGATTTCATATAGATATTTATTTATTTGTAGTTATTAAAAATTAATAATATATGTATATATTATATTATAAGATATATAATTATTTGATAAGATCTGTTTACATATCATCTTACGTGGATATTAACAAGTAGGATAATTTTCAATAATTTTATTCAATCAATTATTTAATTTTTTAAAATTTTAAAGTTTAAAAATTATATTTATTCCAATCTTTCAAAATATATAAGTTTTATCCTAATTTAAATTAAATATATATATATATCTCATACTTTAATCTTACCTATATATATATATATAAAATACAAAATTTAAATAATTTTTTAAACATAAATCCCTAAATCTTAAGAATTATAAAAATCATATACTGACTAAATTAATACTCACATAAATTTAAATAAATAAAATTTATGGTTAATTGTCAATTTTTTTGCCTTTATTTTTCTATGATTTAAAATAAAAAAGAAAGATATATTATCTTAATTTAAAATAATACATATATCTAAATTTAAAATTATATGTATTATTTTATCTTAATTAAAATTAAATTTGGATAAACTACATTTTTTAAAATTTAAAAATTTTAAAATTAAATAATTATCATACATATATATATATATATATGATTTCTTTTCACAATCAAAATTTTTTTCTTTATAAAAATATAAAGCAATCATATTTTGATCACAAATGTTTGGCATGATAATGTTTCAAAATTAAATATGAAAAATCTTTCATGATGATTGAATAGAAAATTTTCCTTTTGTGGTGAGTTTGGATTTTTTTATCCTTTGTTTATATATTTTTATTATTTTTTTGTATTTTTTAGTGATTAATAAATTATTTTATGATTTTCAATTGATGTTTGTTCTTTGAAATCACAATTCATTCACCCATTTTCCTTTTGGCAATTTTAGACGTTAAATAGTATTTATGTTAGTTTTCAAATGCTAAATTTAATTATCAAATATTGTAAATTTAAAAGGACCAAGAAGTGCTCGATTTTACATTGCTGGAGCCTGGAGGAGAGCCATTTGGTGGCACCAGAGCTTTGCAGCCACTTACCGTAGAATTTCCAAATTTGGTGGAGAAAGAGATGTTGGTACGCAAAAGGAAAACTCTTGCCATTCCTTAACAGCTCCTCTGCTTTCATGGTGTTTAATGTTTATTTGGATTCTTTCTTAATAATTTGTATATAAATGATTTTTGTAATTTTTTACTACAAATTATAAATGATTATAAATATTTTAATTTATTTATATATAATATAAAATTTAGTACAATTAAAATTTTATATTATAAAAAATATAATAAAAAATTTCATGGCTAAAAAAGACTAGTTAATTAACATTAACATAAATTTTGTTTATTTGTTTACTTCTTTAAATTTATTTTTAACTTATATAATATTTAATTTTCTTTATAAAAATTGAATTGTTTTAATCTTTAAACATGTGGAATATATTATAACTTTTATTTTCACAAAATATGTTACGAAATATTTCATTTTTATTAATTTTGATTAAAAATAATAAAAATAAAAATATAATGACAAAATTTAATAGCAAAATTTTAATAGTCAGGTACAAATTTACCCTTTTATCGCAAGAAAAAATAAAAGGAATGTCTAAAAGAAAAGTGATAGGGTGGGTGTCCCATCACCAATTGGCCATCAGTATCGGAGGCTACGAATTTGATCCTTGCATCGCCGATCGCGAAGAGAGACTGTGGTTTCCGATCAGAATCAAGATGAAAAGCAGAAGCGGCTATGTCCCACCGCCTTACATACCCTTGGGACAGTCGGAAGAAGAGCTTCCTCGTCCTGCTGGGGAGGGGGATGGACCAAGGCCGTCGGTGCCGCAATCTCAGTCTCTTCAGTGGTCTTCTGGAATCTGTGCTTGTTGCGATGACATGCAGAGCTGTATGGTACTTTGACTTTTCGTTTTTCAGGTGCCTCTTTGAGTTTCATACAAGTAATTTGGAAATTGTCACCCAATCATTTTAGCCTAGATTGTCACAGATAATGACTTACTCTAATCTTTTGTGATATGCTCAACTGAGACACTGTTTTCGTGAATATTTGAATGCCCAGGTTGTATAGGTGTTTTTTTTCCCTGCTTTTTGTTCGGAAAGAATGCAGAATTTTTGGGTTCTGGTACTCTAGTCGGATCCTGCGTCACTCATTTCATTCTTTGGGCTTTTTTCAACACTCTCTGCTGCGTCTTAACTCAAGGCCTTTCATTGGCGTTACCCGGATGCTTTGTCTCTTGTTATGCTTGTGGCTACCGGAGGGCGCTTCGATCCAGATACAATTTGCAGGTATTCTATGCTTTCATCCAATTGAGTTTTTGTATATATCTTTTCCCTTCCCATTGCCCTATTTCTGACATGAACCAGTTATTTCAAGCTTTTTTTTGGACGATGATGCTACTTAGCTTATTTGCATGATGCCAATCTCTCGACTTTCTCTTAAAATGGTTCAGTTATATTTGTTACTTGCTAGAGATGGATTATAATTGTGGCACTGGAGTTATTGACCTTTATGGATCTCTTTTAAACATCATTAATTTCGTCAGTTGTCTCCCAAATTTACAGGAATGAAAGAAAGTGCCAGAAGCTAATCTTTAAAGCTGTGTAATTTCAAATTTTAAACAAGATTAATTTATGGATATTACATATGCATAAAATTTTATAGACGGTAATCATTGCTTTCATCTCGCTGGTGAGACTACCTGGGCTCAAAATTTTACTCTCTTTTCTTGATTCTCCTCTCTGCCCCAAGCCTTTATTAGGACACGACCAGGCCATGCTCAAGTTTAGCAATACTTAGAAAGCCTTATGAGCAAACCCAGTTTTTCCTTGTATTACCAACCCTAAAGGCCTTTAAAATCTTCTTTAGCTTCTGATAAGATACTTCCAGCTTTGCATATGTATAACAAGAAAACAGCATCAATATCAAGCCCTTACCCATCAATATGATTCTTAAATCCCTAATTTTCAATTTTATCTGGCACTGGAAATAAATAAATTCTGCATCACCTGAAACCCTATTAACTATAAATTTTGGAACTTGGATATACTATACTAATCTGAGTCATTGAATAAAAGCCTCTGGCCAAAATATGTGCATTATTTCACTTCTATATTATCTCAAAAATATTTGTCTTTATTGGCCCACATAGTTCATGAAGGGTGTTGTCGTATGTGATCTGGTATTACTGTTGTAGTTCTCCCTTTCACTTGATAATAAAGCTTTGACTGCTGACGTGCCCCTTTGGAGTTGCAGTATGTACTTAAGAATCAGAAGCCATCAAGTTCAGCCAAATGATTTTAACATAGCATATTGCCCAAAATTAGTTGCACTTTATTCTACCATCTATGAAGTAAGTGATAGGTTCCACTTATGTCTCACGTTCATGAACAAATCAAGATTTTTATTTATGATTAGTTTATTTATGGGAGGATATTCTTCCCAAATTGAGAGCATGGTTTGAGAATCGATCTTCTTCATTGAGAGGATTTAGAAGACTGATTCTTCACGAAGGAGTTATACATCCATTGAGCTTTAGTAGGAGATTTCCAAGCCTCAACCATGTGATGTAAGAAAGGTCTGGATGATTTGTCTTTTTGGAGTCCCCGGTGTATGTAACTAGGAGACAATTATAGTTTTGAGTTAGTGGTATGTTTGGAGCCTGGAGGTCTTTTGGTCTTTTCCAATTGGGATTGGATGAGAAGAGTGACTAGAACTCAGGTAGGTGGTGCTGAAATTCTTTGCTGCAGGTTTCCTTGGGCCAAGTTCCAAGTAATCTTAAGTAAGTTAATCCCGCAATTTGCATCTTTGCACTCTGCATTTACTGCTTTGATGTTTTTGTATCTGACCATTGACCATGTCTTTAAGAGGAGAGTCCTTGAAACATATTAACCATGTTCCATTATCAACTTCTTATTAACATGCCATTGGTTCTGGTTTATAAACCTTTTTGGAAAAAACTTTAGTGCTGACACCTTTAATTGGTTTTTTTTTTTTTTTGTATTATAAATCAATCGGTCAAGACAATTTAAAATGACTGTTGGAGGCCACGCTGGAGCAAACTCCGGTGCCATCCTTATTCTTTTACTATTGCTCTCTTCCTCGACAGTTTGATTTCAACTCCAGAACAACAGAAATCAAAATGACCAAAAGCAAGAAAATATATGAATAACTAAGTAAAAACATGAATTTTTATTACAATTGTTTGAAAAATGTCACTACAATATTGCTGCAGTATTGTAGATGTTAAATCCAAATAATAATAACATGATCTGACCCCATATCAGCTTCTTATTTTTTTCATCTTCAGAGGGTTTCCAATTCCAATTTGTTAAATTCAATAGGTTTTGAGGTTTAATGGTGCACTTTTTCATAGTATATGTATATATTGCATAAAGTCTACTTATGTGGAAACCTCTCTATGTAACTCTTGCTTCACAAGGTGTATGGTATGGGCTAGATGGTGCAATTTCTAGGGATTGTTAAGACTGTAGATAATATGGAACATTTTTTGAGACTCGTATCATTTTTTTTGGGTCCTCTTATACCATCATTCTTTCTACTTATGGACTTGTTGAGATTGATTTATAGTAAGGCTTTTAGGGGATAAGGTGGTTCATTTTTCATCAGATTTAGAGTGCTTGTTTCTCCTTTTTTTTATTAGCATGGACTGGATGCAAAATGGTAAATGAAGGAATTCAGAAGTACTACTAAGCAAAAAGTTTCAAGATAAAAAAAAAATGGTAATATTTTGGCACATAAGGGCAAGTGAATTTTATATTTACCTCATTTGCTTTTGGTGAGATCTGACTTGACAATAGAAAAAATAATGTATCCTATGATTATTAACTCATGTAAATGTTTGACCTTTAAACAATCTTATACATTTTTAGAGATACCCCAACTATTAATATTAACAAGGTTTTGGATGAGATGTCAAATAATAATTTTCTTTGGACAATGGTAACTTCCCTCTGTTTCCAGCAGTTGTAGATTAATATATATCAGAATGAATTCCATTGGGCAGTCCTTTTGCATGCTTATTATTTGATAATCAATCCGTGTTTATGTTTGATGCAGGAAGCACCTTGTGGGGACTTTGTTACTCATTTTTTCTGCCATCTATGCGCCATCTGTCAGGAATATAGAGAGATATGTGAGAGGGCGAAGGATTCTAAACCCCAGATCTTAAGCTGGCTGTGGTCACTGCACCAGCTGTTCAGACAATGGAATCATCGGCTCTCTGGCAATAAATAAAATGCTATTGCTGCCCGCGATGTTTCTCTTCTGTCCAGTGCCTGTTTCAGGGTTGAACTTGTTTCATATCGTTTTTAATCAGAACGGCCAGGATATCTATTAACATTTTGTTTTCAACTTCTAAAACTATCATGATGGAAGGTTTTTATCTGATTGTATGACGACTTGTTTGATTTCTTGTTTTGACCTGCATTCAGGCATGTGGCATTGTCGTTATACGTAGTAGACTAATGGACCAAAACGACTTAATATTATTTGAGTTATTAAGCTTAGCTGCTTAGGAACCAGACTATTGGTGCAGGTTTTCAGTGTTTTGGGATGTGTACCAGTTAAATACATTTCATCACTCATTTTAATTGTATCATTTTATAGTAAATTATTCTAATAGGGAATCAAACACATCTCATCACCAATTTTAATTTTATTATTTTATGATAAATATCTCATTATCCATACAAATGGATGCAAAATTAATTAGATTTGTTTGGTGTGAGACGTCTAATTACGATTCTAACTCAAGAAATTCGACGAAATTTACCCATTTACACTAAGATGTAATTTATCATGGCACAAAATTTATCTTTATTATTTAATATAAAAACCCTTTTTACTCTAAAATAAAAATTACCATGCAGGTGATATGAAGAGCATTTGCTGGATAGGATATCCTTTATTGTATGATAAAAATTTCATTGTATTTGATAAATACTAAAATTCGTGCTTTGCCTATTCTGTTAGTACAAAAATTTGTTTACTTTTATTCTACTACAAGAATTAGATATTCCGGAATCCACGTTTCGTCCCGGAAACTTTTTCACTCTTTTTTTTCAAATCCATCCAAACAATGGATTTTGCGGAGAATGAAGGCTCTTAAGAATGTCCATTCATTAGCTCTTATTTTCCCTTTTCATTTTGTTTCCGCCTTTGGAGAGAAGAGAGTTATCCATGTCAGCCTCATTTTTCTTTTTTCTTTTTTTCCCTCTCCTATCAATTCTTAACGTATCTTTTTATCATTTTTTATATTCTCTTTCCTTCTATCCTAAACCATCCATTAATCATTTCTCAATTGCCTTTGCTTTTCATTTACGTTTTCTTCTCTTCTCTTTATCATGATTATTCTCCTTTTCTCTCTCTAAAAAACAAGATTATTTTTTGCTTTTTTAAGTTGTTACAAATATGGTCGACTGCTCCTTCTTTTTCTTCTCTTCTCTTCTTTTTTTTTTTTTTATTTTTCTTAATTTTTCCTAGAACAAAATTAAAAAACTAAGCTAGATCTTTCAAAATTTCATACCCAAATTTACGATATTTCTTAGTTTTAGATTTAGATTTCGATTTGATGATGTTTCTCATCTATCATCATATTTGTTTGTTTTGATTAAACTTAAAAAGTATGGAAAAGAAGAAATTAAAAGATAAAATATGTATTTGGTTCCTAAATTTTAAAATTTTTGCCACATTAGTATCTAAAATTTTTTTCTATTATATAAGTACTTGAACTTTCAAATCGTTATTATGTTTGTGCATCAGATAAACGTCGTTAATCAATTTTATTTATATGATAAGAATATCCAATAAGATGATGACACATGTCAAATAAGTCTAACCAACATCATATCACCATCGTCACATCTGCATAAAAAATTCTAAAAATTTTTTTTAAAATCTAAAAAAATTTTAAAAAAAATTCTCAAAAAATATTAAAAATTTTTAAACAAATTCTAAAAATTTTAAAAACTTAAAAAAAATTCTAAACAATTCTAAAAATTTCTAAAAAAAGTTCTAAAATATTTTTAAAATTTTTCAATTTTATAAAAAAAATTTAATTTAAAAAAAATTATAAAAATTTAAAGAAAATTGTAAAAATTTTCAAAAATTTCGAAATTTTTTTTAATTTTAAAAATTTTAAAAACTCAAAAAGGAACAAAATAATTCTTAAATTTTTTAAATTTTTTTAAAATCCATTAAAAAAATTTTAATTTCAAAAAACTATTAAAAAAATTCTAATAAAATTCAAAAGAAATTAAAAAATTTTCTCAAAAAATATAATTTTTTTAAATTATAAAAATTTAAAATTTTATTAAAAATCTAAAAAATTAAAAAAAATTAAAAACTAAAAAAAATTCTAAAAAATTTTAAACACATCTAAAATTATTTTTAAAATTTATAAAAAAAAATTCAATTTCAAAAAATTATAAAAAAGTACTAAAAATTTTTCAAAAAATTCGAAATAATTTAAAAAATTTTTTAAAATTCAAAAAAAATTTAAACTTTCTCAAAAATATTTTTAATTTAAAAAAGAGTGAAAATATGAAATATTTTTAGAAATTATAAAAATTATCAAAGCTTGAAAAAATTTTAAATATTAAATTTTTTAAAAAAATTAAATAAATTCAAAAAATTAGATTTTATAAAAAAAATAAAATACTATAAATTTATAAAAATTTAATAAAAATTTTGGAAGATTTTCAACTTTCCATAATTATTTTTGAATTTTTAAAATTTTCTAGAATTTTTTGAAAGTTTTTAAATTTTTTCAAAAGTTTTTAATTTTTTTTATTTCTTAAAATTTTGGCATTTTTAAAAATTTTAAAAAGTTTTAAAAGCTGTTAGACTTTTTATTTTTTTCAGAATTTTAAAAATTTTTATTTTTATTTTTTAATTTTCTATGAATTTTTTAAAATATTTTTAGAATTTTAAGACTTTTGAAAAATTGTTAGAATATTAAAAACAATTTCATAATAATTTTATATTTTTTAAATTTTTTTAATTTTTAAAAATTTTAAAAATCTTTTAGAATTTTTTAAAAATTTTTTAATTTTGTAAAAAAAATTTATAATTTTTTAGATTTTTTAAAACTTTTTAAATTTTTTAAAGCTTTTTAATAATTTTAAAATAATTTTTAAAATTTCTTAGAATTTTTACTAAATTTTTTTATACTAGCGTGGCTATAATAATGTGGTGTTGATTGAATTTATTTAACGCGTATCAACATCTTATTAGTTATTCACACTACATCAGCAAAGTTGAACCAACGTGACAATGATTTAAAAATTCAAGTACCGATATGACAGAAAATTACTTTAGGTACCAATATGAAAAAAAATTTTAAAATTCAAGAGTCAAATATATATTTAACCCAAGTTAAAAACTTTATCCCTTTAGATTTTCTAACATCTTTTCATCCTTTTTTACTTATTTTTATCTTATTTACTTTTGTACATATATGTTTTCCAATATCTTTCACCATGAGAATATGTAAGTATCTATCTCTTTTTTTTTTTCCATTTTCGATGTTTTATATTTGAACAAATAACTTGAAATAAATTATTGTTTTGTGTTATTAAAGAATAGTTGTTAAGTTTTATGATTTTTTTAATTTCTTACTCCCTAACTGATTTGAAAACTTTCAAAGAAAGATTTGGTTTTCTTTCATTACTTTTTAGCAAGATTTTTTTATTATTTTTTTAAAAATTTATCTAATTTGCAAAATTTGTTTGGAAGCAAAATTGTTAACTAGATTGTTGTTTTTTTCTAATGGGCATGAACTTGAAGAAAACAATGAAATATTGGAAGATTTTTTGATTATGACTATCCACAACCGTTAAAAGTTGCTTCCTAAATTAAATGCAACTTGATTTTTCACTTATCATTAACTCTATTGTTTTTAGCTAACTTCTTTATTGAGGTTTGAATAATTCAATCTCAATGAGATAATGTGATAAAAAAAATTGTGGTCCTAATAGACTTATTATCATCTTTTACATTTTCTAATTTATGAACGTATACTATTTTAATTATATGTAAAGTTCAAAATTTTGATTGTGTTAAGTTTTAATAATTTTGTTGTGTCTATGTATTTTTTACGTATGATCTTATTAGCTTGTTCGTCCTAATTTGTGTTACAATTCTTTTTAAGCATATTGAATTTGATGAAATGTAAAAGTTCAAATTTTGGTTAGTTTGGTGTGAATTTTAGTTGGAACTATGATTTTGGGGCTTTTCACGAATGTGAATTGGATATGGTTGGATGGTACAAATTTATGATATGACTTTTATCTTAGTCAAAGGCTAAATGCATGAGTGTTTTTTTTTTTTTTTGTCTTTCTTATTATCTTAGTCCATGGCTAAGCAACATCGTAATGATAAGAATTGATGAACTTACTATGCTAGGTTTAGATGATATTGAAAAATTCAGGTAATTGATCTTGTTTAAGTTTGATTTACTTTATTGTTATTGATTTATGTATCTCAATAATGAGTCCATCACTTAGCTTGTTTGACTTTGATAAAGTCTTTTTATATGTAGTCTTTGTAATTCTATCTACATATTTAGGTCTTTTTTAAGAAACTTAGATAATTATTTTCACTATTTTTATTCATTTTGGATCCATATGTGTATTTATCTATGTTTAAGATATCTTAATTTGTTGTTAATCCATTTTTAGCTTTTCTTTTATTTATTTGCATGATTTGATATCTTTATATATTAGCACCATGAACTATCCATTTCAAACATATTTCATTATCAGTAATATATCAAATTAAAAGTATTAATTTGCTAACAATGCCGTCACATTAATGGCGGGATAATTGGACTATGAATTTTTTTAAGTAATTTTATACAAGTCATTTCTATTGTTGTTTATATTTTAAGATAGTCTAAATATAGTGCAGCCATTAACTATATATATATATATATATATATATGCTTTTAAGGGGTTGTTCATAGGTAACCTCAAATCTTAATATCAAACTTGAGTTTACTTCTTAAGTTGGCATAATGATACTTTAAGAGAATTTCTTTATTTCTTTTATTGGAACACAAACTATAACTATCTTATTGATAATGTGCTTTTATTCTTTCATCCAATGTTAATTTGTGTCAGAAGGGAAGTTGAAATGTTAAATAAATTTATTTATCTTTAGTTTGGTTTTGATTGGATTTTATTCTTTTTTTATTTTTTTGTATGGTTGACAATTGAATTTTTTTTTAATATTGATCACTACATGTATTTTTCTAAAAGTTTATTTTTTATTTTTTAGCTTTTAATGTTGTTTGTAGTGTGATAAAAGCTCTTTGCTTGTCTTGATGTAAAAAATATTATGAATCTTATCAATTTTTTGTTGTGTTCAAAATTTGGTTGCATTACATATAGTTTAGGTCTTATTTGTCTACTTTGGATGATATATTAGCCCTTAAAATTTTGCCCTGGCCTAGTTTTTCCTTTTATATTGATCTATAAGTTGATTTTTTGTTAGTGGTGTTTATTTGTTTGTATATAGTTTTGACCATATATCAAAAGTAATAAATTATATAGCACATATGGATTTACTTTATTCACCAAAATTTTTATTTTTGAAATTTTCTTTCAAGCCAATCAATGAACTTAATTTAAAAATAGGTTGTGCCATAATACGTTTTAGAAATGTGAACCAAACTTCTATTATGTGAAATGGAAGTGAACTTTTAGTCGC